CTGTTACTAAACATGGTTTGTTTTCCTCTTTGATTATTCCCCCCCCCTTTGCTGTCCTACCTCCCACTGTTGGTTTTCATTGTTATTTTCCATTTCCTCTTCCTGTAATGCTTTGGCGAGGATGTTTTGAAGAGATGGTTTTCTAGCTGCGAATTCTTTAAACTTTTGTTTATCGTGGAAGGTTTTAATTTCATCCTCCATCCTGAAGCTTAATTTCGCTGGATACACAATTCTTGGTTGGAACCCATTTTCTTTCAGTGTTTGAAATATGTTATTCCAGGATCTTCTAGCTTTCAGAGTCTGTGTTGAAAGATCAGCTGTTATCCTGATTGGCTTACCCCTAAATGTAATCTGCTTCCTTTCTCTTGTAGCTTTTAAAATTCTCTCCTTATTCTGTATGTTGGGCATCTTCATTATAATGTGTCTAGGTGTGGATCTCTTATGATTTTGCACATTCGGCGTCCTGTAGGCTTCTAGGATTTGGGATTCTGTCTCATTCTTCAAGTCTGGGAAGTTTTCTTGTATTATTTCATTGAATAGACTGCTCATTCCTTTGGTTTGGAGCTCTGTACCTTCCTGTATCCCAATGACTCTTAAGTTTGGTCTCTTAATGTTATCCCATATTTCTTGGATGTTCTGCTCATGGTTTCTTAACAGTCTTGCTGAGCTGTCTATGTTCTTTTCCAGTTGAAATACTTTGTCTTCATTGTCTGATGTTCTATCTTCTAAGTGTTCTACTCTGCTGGTAGTATTCTCCATTGAGTTTTTAAGTTGGTTGATTGCTTCCTGCATTTCTAGGATTTCTGATTGCTTGTTTTTTATAACCTCTATCTCCCTGTATAGTTGATCCTTTGCTTCCTGGATTTGTTTGCGTAATTCGTTGTCGAAGTGATCTTTCATTGTCTGATTTTGCTGTTTAATGTCTTCCTTGATACTCCAGATCATCTGAAGCATGTATATCCTGAATTCTTTATCTGACATTCCGTCTGCTGCAGCTGTTACCTCTTCTAAAGTTGCGTTGACCTGCATTGCTTGTGGTCCTTTCTTTCCTTGTCTTTTCATACTGCTTGCGTATCTTTCCTGCAGGTGCGGGCGGCGGCTCTGCTCTCTCCTTATTCCAATTGGGGTGTCGTGGCTACCACGCTGGCAGGTCACTGGGCCTGTTCTGGGAGCTGGCGGCGGCTCTGTTCTGCCCCTACTCCAATTGGGGTGACGAGTGTACCACGCCGGCAGGCCACCGGGCCTGATCCGCCGGTCGGTTGCAGGTTTGCCTACCCTGCAGGCGCGGGCGGCGGCTCTACTCTGCCCCTACTCCAAATGGGGTGACGTGTCTGTCGTACCGGCAGGCCACTGGGCCTGTCCCGCTGGTCGGTCGCAGATCTGCCCACCTTTCGGGCACGGGTGGAGGCTCTGCTCTGCCCCTACTCCAATTGGGGTGTCGTGACTACCCCGCCTGCAGGACGCTGGGCCTGTTCCTGGCACGGGCGGCGACTCTGCTCTGTCACTACTCCAATTAGGGTGGTGTTTGTACCACGCCGGCAGGCTCCTGGGCCTGATCCGCCGGTCTGTTGTAGGTCTGCCTACCTTGGAGGCGCGGGCGGCAGATCTGCCCTGCCCCTCCTACCACGCCTGTGGACCCCTGGGCCTGATCTGCAGGTTGATCACTGGTCTGCTCACCCTGCGGGCACGGGTGGCGGTTCCGCTCGGCCCCCACTCCGATTGGGGTCTCGTGACCACCACACCGGCAGGGCCTGATCCAGGCGTGGGAGAAGGATCTGCTCTGCCCCTACTCCAGTTGGGGTGACGTGTGTACCACACTGGCAGGCCACTGGGCCTGACCCGCCAGGCTGTCACAGGTCTGTTTACCTTGGAAGCGAAGGGCGGCTCTGCCCTGCCCCTCCTACCACGCCCATGTACCACTGGGTCGCGGGTCTGCCCACCTTGCGGGTGCGGGTGGCGGCTCCGCTCCGCCCCCTCTCCAATTGGGGTCACGTGGTCACCACGCTGGAGAGCCGCTGGGCCTGCTCCGGGCGCTGGCGGCGGCCCGTCTCCTCCCCTCTGGCTCGAGGACAAATTGAGGAGACTCGGGTGACTGTGCCTCACCCCCCCTACCAGGAGACCAACTGCTTATGTCCCCGCTGGTATTGATGAAGTTCTCTCCTCCGCCGCTTTCTGCTGACATCAGATCTCTGCCATGTTGGTATCCTATGCGAATGGCAGCATTTCGTTCCCCTTGCCGGGCAACCAAAGCAACGGGTGAGACCTGACCGGCCCTCAGCAGGACCCGGACCAAGACGCAGTTTCCGCGGGCTCCTAGCCCTGGTCCAGGGAAGTTCCGGGAGCCGGAACTCGGCCGCTCCGTGCTCGGTGTAAGCTCCTATAAGTGTAAGCTCCAAGAAGCAGTCCCCGCGGGCTCAGTTCCGGGAGCCAGAATTCGGCTGCTTAGTGCTTGGTGTATGCTCTGATAGTAGCAGGGTCCAAGAAGCAGCCTCCGCAGGCTCCGCAGCCCTGGGCCAGGGCGGTTCCGGGACGGTTCCGGGAGCCGGAACTCGGCCGCCCCGCGCTTGGTGTTCGCTCCGATAAGATCAGATTCTAAGAAGCACCCAGGCGCTGAACCCTAGCAATCTGTCTGCAAGCCGCAGGCGAATTGCAGCCTGAAATTACCTGTTCTATGGCTGAATGAGCTGCGGTCAGTCGAAAACAGGGAAGGTGACGTCAGTTTACCAACATGGTGGCTGCTGGCCTCCTCTGTGGTCTGACCGGTGTGGAGAACCGAGATGGACCGCTTCCTTCCCCCGTCTCGAACCCAGAATTCAGCCCTGAGTACGGTGCTTGCGCGGCTGGCAGAAACTGCAGCGCTGTAACCCTGCGTCTCTATCCCAGCGCGTGCTGCAGACTCTAGCCGCGGGGCGATTTGCTGAATAAGCAGTGTTACCCTCCGTGCGACAAACCTCTCGCGTTTGAGTCCCCGTAGCCGATCCTCGTGCGATGGAAATCCTTCCTCCAGGTTCCGGAGCACCCCACTATTGCTGGAAATTCCTAACAAGATATCCTTTAGCCGTCCTGACTTGTCATACTCCCACACAGTGAAGCAGCACACGGGGGCAATGCACTCCCCTCGCCGCCATCTTCCTCTCCCCGCTAATCTCACATTTTAAAAAAATGAAATCAAATTTGCATGTGTAGCAGACTAGGAGTCACCCAAGAACATGGAATGTTTGTCTTTGGATAGTCCAAATCATTCTCTGCTACATAAATAAACAACATAGAGAATGAAAACATACTCTGAAATCTATTCCAGAAAACAGAATTATAAAACAAACCTGGGTGTCCCATTAAATTGTGCTAGGTTGAGCCTGTGAACAGCAAGCCATGTGGTGGTTTGTGAGGTTGGAAAAGGCTGAGATAATGAAAGGCACGGTATTTACAGTTCCCAGGGACTTAGTGCATTCCACTTGCTCAGCGTTGAGTAAGGCATTATGCTCTACTAAACCACGTGAAGAGATAGTGTAGAAAAGGTAAAAGGAATTAGCCAAGTTAGGTAATATCATGGCAGAAGCTTACTGAGAACCAATATCCCAGGAATGAATATCTATTAAATAAAAGTCATGCAGAAGCAATAGTTTTCTGGTACAGATCTCTCACGATTTCTTCTTTGTGTGTGTAAATCTTCTCTGTGTAAGAAGGGACAGGCTCATGCACATTAAGTATGTGATCAAAGAACCTGTGTACAATTATATAAAACTGAAAATATGCCTGGATGAAATGAGCCAAAGAATGAAGATGTTGATTCAAACGCTTTGGACCCATGAGTCTTGAATCTATAATGCAAAAGCCCAAGTGTGGAGAGCCATCCTCACGTGTGACTGGGTGACTCCCGGTTTGGGTCTGAGGCTTCTGGCTATGTCGGAATTTTCCTGGCCCTCTCCTGATGAGAGAACCTGTCCGTGTGGGGGTGTTACTGACCACTGACCCCGGGGGCCCAATCACTGACCCTGACCTTGGAGTGCGGCCCCCCCTCAACCTTCATTGGATGGAATTCTCCCCTGAATTTCTTGCTCCCCAATAAAAGGCTACTCCCTGGCGTGCTCGCTCTCTCTCTCTCTCCTGCTAGCCCTGAGTAATCCTTGCTGCCCTGCTGGGCGGTTAGAGGAGGGAACCAGAGAGGGGAGCCGTCTCGGACCTGGCAATAGAAATAAGGTAACTGAGTCTGTGTGTTTTATTTCGATCTCTTCTAGCTAACTTTTATGCCAAGAACCTCATTAATGAAACCATTGCGCTGGCCGCATGGTGGACCCAAGATCAATCACAATCATTGATGAAGTGAATAAATTCAAGTGGAAGAAACAGAACAAATGATGTTAAGAGACTATTTACTGACAAAGAATAAATGGAGAAAACTTCATAGGCATTATTTGTTGGATTTCTCTGACTGTAAGGCATGACAATAGGACACACAGGGAAGAATTATAGAATGAATGACAGATAAGTGAGGCAGAGTTAAAAGCTATGACATAAAAACAGCAGTGAATATAAAAGACAAATTCCAAGTTTATTCTGCAGGTATTATTTGCACTAAAATATGGGAGAGAGAGAGACACTTATTATATTTCTTATAACAAAACAAAGGATAGCATTACCATACTTTACTTAAACATTGCAATTCTGATTATACTTATGATTCAAGGAGTCTGAGTTTTGGAAAGAAAGCTGATTCTATTAGCTGATAGAAATAAAACATTTCAAACCTGCAGTTTGTAAGTAAAAGTTAAGAAAAAGAATCTCTAAAACCTCAAAAAGTAATGTGTTATATAAGCAAGGCAATAAAAAAAAAAGTGTCACACACAAATACAAAGCTTCAAGTTCCCCTGAAGATAAAAGTGACAAGTAAGGAATCGCTGACATACAGCATGATGTCGTGTATAAAACACAACATTTCCATTTACAATTTAAAATTCCTATAGGATGGACTGAGAGCCATATTATAAGAAAGTGGTTACCGTAATTTGTAATTAAATGTATCGCTCGATGATGCCCCATCTCCTGAAGAATTTGTAAAAGGTCACCGATGGTCTTGTTTTTCTGTGCCCAGGACCACAGCAATTCTCTTGTTCCACTTTTACCTTGGTCTACGTATTTTTCAATATGACGAACATCCAGCCAACTGTTAGAAAGTCTCTCTGCTGTGGAAGGTACAATAGAAAGAACCAAAGCACAGTTTATTTTTTATTGAAATACTCGTATATTTTACTTATCAATGAATAATTTGAACTAACTATTATTTTGAATAATTTAGCAGGTACTCCTCACCCACCTTCCACTAATATTGACAGTAGTAACCATGATACAATTATCAGAAGTAGTAATAACAAAACTGCAGATCTTATTTACTTTTATTCGTTATTTCACTAAGTACTTTTTTGATTCGGATCCTTTCCAGTTTCCCACATTACATTTAATCATTTATTCTCCTGAGTCTCCTCCAGTGGGTAGAGATTTCTCAGTCTCTCCTCATCTTTCCAGACAGTGACATGACACTGTGCCCTGCTCAGTGTGTAATATCCAGGGGGTTATGATATGATGTCTTATCACCATTAGTATGTATCTTGATTATTTGGATAAGGTGGTGTCTGCAGGGTTTCTCCACTACTGAGCTATCTTTTTATTTATAATTAATAGCTCTATGGGGGAAGATGCTTTGAGATTGTGGAAATTCACTGCTTCGCTGCAGATTTGGCCTACTAATATTTGCACCCACCAGTACTTTTGTTTATTCAGAATTATTACTGTAGTATTTGCTTCATGGTGATTTTTTCTACTTTGTCTTTTTTCCTTCTATGTTCATGAACTGTAACTTTTCTGTAATAAAGAGTATCCCTTCATTCTCATGTATTTACTCAACTTTTATGTAGAACAGAATGGATTTATGGGTATTTATTCTATTCTAATGGTTAAAATTCAGTGTTATCAAGGTCTAGATCTGGGATGTCCCCAAAAAGCTCAGGTACTTCAAGGCACGGTCCCTAAGCCAGCAATATTCAGAGATGAGGCTTTTAGGAAATGATTGGATCATGAGGGCTCTAACCTCATCAGTGGATTAATCCATTTGGTAGATTAATCATATTAATCGACTTCTAGGAAGAGGTGGAAATAATATGCAGGTGGGGTATGGTTGGAGGAAGTGGTCACTGGGGGTATGCCTTTGAGGAATACATCCTCTCCTTGGCCCCTTCCTCCCTGTCTCTCTCTGTTTCCCAGCTGCCGTGAGCTGAGCAGCTGTCCTCTGCCACACCCTCCCACCATGTTCTACTTTACTTCAGGCCCAAAGAAATGGAGTCAGTTGACCATGGATTGAAATCTCTAAAAAACATGAACCAAAATAAATTTTTCTTCCTCTAAGTGATTCATTTTTCATTTTTGGTTACAGTGGCAAAAAACTGACTGACACACTATCATTATTTATTTTGTTGCTGAAGCGGTTCTAGCTTTGTCTGTCTAGGTTGGCTCCTATGTTCTGACAAGGCCTATCTTTATTTAAGTACTTTCTTAGTTGCTGACTCTACAAGATGCTCAAGGCTTATTTTGTATTTCCCCTTCCCCAGCACTGGAATTAACTACTTGCCCAAGTTTTCAGTGGTGATTAGAAGCTAAGATGCAGGTACCAAATGTGCTCATGGTGGCTACAGTTCCATTGCTTGGAGGCTCTCAAAGCAGACAGAGCTAATAAATAGAGATGTACACTAGTCCACAAATCCACATTTCTCTATCTGTATGTATACATATTACAAACCAAGAGCTTATTCTAGTACCTCTGATTCTAATCCAATCCCAGAGGTTCACATTTTAGTCATTCCTCCTTAGTAACTTAATCTACTCTTATCATTGATGCTATATTTACTTGTTCATTTACTTCTACTACACTTTATAAAGTACTTTCAGAATTGCTAACCTACCCCCATGAGAAACACATTCACTAAATTAGAGCATAATAATTCTTTTTGTCCTTAGCTTAAAGGCATCCAGTATGATGCTGTTTTCCAAAATTATTTAGGTTAATTCTTTTCCTCCTCACCCCTTTCAGGGTGGGTATTATTTATTGGTAATACAGTTAGCTTCAGATGTTGAGGTTTTCATGCAAGAGTGTTTTAAATGCTTGTTCCACATAGTTTTGCTGTTGAATATTTTTGAGTAATTAAAAATTAGTATCTGGGTGGGTTAGGAAAATGTTTCACTAAGGATATTAGGCTTTTCTTCACTGCTCGAGACCCATGTATATGGCTTGTTTTGGATCTTGTAAAAATACCTTAAAGTGGTACTAAAAGTGTATTGTTTTTTGTACTCTGAGTTAAAAGGATTTTTCAACTGAAAACTTATTTCACCTTGCTGTACAACTTTCAAATTTTAAAGTGTACTGTAGGCAAGGGAGGGTGAGAGAAGGCAAATGATAGAAAGGTAGCTTTCTTGTTCCTATAATAATACAAGTTCCTATAATAATATAAGTCATTTTGAGTTCTAAGATTAACAATGTGCTTTTGAGTCATTGATGGTAACAGCAGCTTTCCCTCATTGCTTTACCTTCCAGAGACTCTAAAAAATGTAGGATCCCAGATAATGATCTGTGGATACAATTCAACTATCATCTGAAGTTGATCATGGTGATCCCAGTATACCACAATAACTAGTGATGGAGACTCAGTACCTTTTTCTCCCTGCCACACATGAATATGGAAAGAACCCTCAAAGAGCAAATAAATCAACTTTGTTAAAGGACTCTCCAATCTACCAATGATATTCTTCAAAGGCTGATGTCCTTTCAAAAGACAAACAGATGCTCAGATCTAAGGAAATGATTAGCCTTATGGAACTTTCTTCTGTTTAAAGTCTGTTTCAGGGTCCAAAGTTTGTGTTAAGGAGTTGCTATACAAGTTATAGTATTTGAAATCAAGACATCAGAAAGGCAAGCATTTTCTGCTTTAATATGGTAACCTCTTTCCCCAAATTTTCGGTTCTATCTGGTTTGCTGTAATATTCAATTTACTTCAACTTTATGTTCTTGCTGGGACTCTCAACAAAACCTGAAAGTGGAAAAAGTTCAGAATATGAAACCACTACTCCCCCCCACCCCATTCTTTGAGCCAAAAGTTGATATTGTAGATAGTTCCAATGCTCTCCAATATTTCCAATCCCCCACCCCATTACAAAGGATTACATTTCCCTTCCATGTAAGGTTAGGTATGTGTCTATTCTAGCAGAAATACTAAAAAGTCAAGGCACAATTTACCAGGTTCCCAACCCTGCTACAGCAATGGTAGAAGCACATGCTGACCTAGGGTTGTCTCATGAATAAAGAAGCCTAGGAATCTGGGTCACCACATGCGGGACAGATGCACTAGACTCTGAGTGCTCTTCCCAACAGCAAAAAGCAAACTTATACTATGTCAAACTACTAATATTTTGGTATTGTTTATTATTGAAGCACACCATAGTCTATCCTGACTAATACATACAAAGTTACATCTTGAATTAATCCAGTCACTTCTTGTAGGAGAATAGAGTGAAAGAGACTGGCATCTTTTGTGATCACATATCAAACAGGGAGGATAAATGTGACTTTCAATTCGAATGCATGTTTAGGCTACAAGGGGGAAAAAAAACTAGCTTTAATGAAATAGCTGACATTATTGAGTTGGAATGTCTTTACTTGTCCCCCTTATTTTAAGTTCTGGCAAGAATATATTATTAATTCCTTATTTTTTTATGGAGACAGTATCTCATGAAGAGGCAAAAAAACTATCCAAATGCCAAATATGTTTTAGATTGCTATCTTTACAAAAAAAAGGGAAGATTGTAGAGCAAAAATATTGGTAAGATCTGGTGTGTGATGCTCTTTAATATACAGATTAAATATCTGTTGGGTTTGCATCTGTAAATTCAACCAACTATGGATCAAAGATATTCAGAAAAAGATTGTCTATACTGACCAAGTAAAGACTTCTTTTCTTTGTCATTATTCCCTAAACAATACAGTATAACAACTATTTCAGTGGCCATTTACATTGATGTAGGTATTTTAAATAATTTAGAGATGATTTTAAGTATGTGGGAGGATGTGGATAGGTTATATGCAAATACTATCCCATTTTATATAAGGGACTTGAGATCTATAGATTTTGTAATCCCATAGGTCCTAGAACCAATCCCCTATGGATAATGAGAGATAACTGCTATTCTTTTTTATATATGTGGTCTGGCTTTTTGGTTGAGACACATTTGTCATGAACACTTTAGCTAGCTATTTCAAGAAACCCTTGAAAGAATACTGTGGATTGGGGTGTTCAAACATTTGCTGTTATCTATGATGAGCCAGGGTACAGTAATTGCATACACCAGTGGGGCATGGAGATAGGTCCCTAACTAAGACAAAGACCCAGGAAAAGTTCCACTACAGAAGTGTTTTACAGACATTGAGCCATGTTTAAGGCAATGAGTATTTCTAAAGGGAGACCAATTCTTAAGGATTTGAAGCCACTACTGCCCGTTCTTTGAGCCAAAAATTGATGTGGTGGACATAACCAATGCTCTCCATTATTTCCAATTCCCTACCCCATTATGGAGGATTACATTTCTCTTCTCTGTAACATTAGTAATGCGCCTATTCCAGCAGAAACACTGAAGAGTCAAGGCACAATTTACCAGGTTCCCAATCTTGCTGCAGTAGTGGTAAAAGCACATGCTGACAAGGGGGTATCTCATGATGGAAGAAGCCTGGAATGCTGGGCCACTGGATGGGAGACAGATGCACTGGACCCAGTGTTCTTCCCAATAGCAAAAAGCAAACTCATACTATGTCAATACTGTAAGTATTGTAATATGTGTAAATACTGCATATAAGACTGCCAGGGTATGCTAGAATTTAGAATTTCATCTGGAAACCAACAAATAACTCTCAGCCCTGTAAACTGTCCTATCTCCCAAGAACAAAAGACTTCAGTCAAAACAGAGCATGGCTGTGGGCCTCGATGTGCATGCAGGAACATAGGTGTTTAGTGGTGGCCCTGGACCTACAGGAAGACTTTAGGCAAACCACAGTCCCACTGAACAATCTCAAACTTCCCATTAGTAACTGTTCTTTGAAGCTCTCCCACCTATAATATATCCTAAATTTGTGTTATCTTTCTTGGCC